ATTTTTTTCTGTCTTCAAAAATGACTTCCATTTCCCATCTTCCCTAGGGGAACAAGGTCCTGAAAAAAGGACTTGTGCTACTGCCACTTCCTCAGCTTTGGGTCCCTGCTTCTTCTGCAGGGTATCCAACAGCGCCTTGTTGGGACAGAGCATTCAGAGGTTCACAACCTCAATGGTCCGTAGGAGCCATTATGAGGAAGGCCCAGGAAAGAATTTGTCACTTTCAGTGGAAAATAAATAGCAGTTGCTAGCTATGATGACTTTGTACTTTGGATCTGGATTTGCTGCATCTTTCTTTATAGTAAGACACCAGCTGCTTAAGAAATAAGGATGTTTTGGTTAATCCATGAAATAGATGTGAAGAGCATTTTAAGAGGTGCAGTCCCCTTGAAAAATGGATCAAACTGTTGAAATCAACATACTAGATACATTTGTAAATAAACTTATGGCATGAAAAAAATGACAATCAGAAATTGCTTATCTGTAATTGAATTACAGGGAAAATAAATAACTTCTTTCAATTGCTCATTTTTAATGTCTAACCTAATATCCTACTGTAATTTTTTTTTGCCTGATCCAGAAAAATAAAGACTAATTTAAGAGAGGAATTATGTTATTAGAGCTACACATGCTTCTTAACCTAGTTCATCCATTAGAAGTTTAGCAGCAGTCTGGCCCCTATTGCTTCTTTCACTTTGAACTGAAGGGGATAAGAATATGCACCCCAAAATATGCTACTTTGGCATAGGATTATTTTGAGCGGAAGACAATTAAGAAACAGCAGACACAGGAGGAATCCTCTGCTCCCCTGTCTTCTGCCTAAAATCAAGGCATAAACTTCCTTTTGTGAAGCTGTCCCCACTCCTCTCCCGTACTAGGGGAATATCCCTTATCCATGGAGATGGAAAGGCGGCACTGAGATGAATCTACACACACACAGTAACCCTTATCTCGTTCATTTCCCCATGTATTTTACCTTCCCACAATTTACCCACCCCTAGAAGCCCCAACCACCTTCACTTTGTTTAGTCACTGCTCCACAATTTACCACCCTTTATAAACTGGTATTAAGCTCCCATGCTTAACCAGTTCTTTGGTTTTTTCATTTCTTTTCTCTAACACTCCCATGTTCATATAAACAAACCTCTTCTGTTTATCTACTGTCAATTTAATTCAAAGACTCCAGATACTGAACCAAAGAAGGCAGAGGAAAAGTTTTTCATCGCCTACAGAACAATATGGGGTAAAGTCATTTCATACCTAAGCTTCTTAAAAACTTACACCCTTGGAAAGCGTTCTAGGCTGGTTAGTTCAGAAGCATGAAATTAGGAAACTACGAAATGAATGACTCTAGGACCAAATTCATTGTCATCTGACCCCCGCAATTATAAAGGGTTCACCAGATTCATTCTAATGCTTCCATGGCGCGAAAATCTTCACACAATTCCTACTTCCCATAAAACCCCAGCACTGTATCTGACTCATACACACCAAAATCAGAACGAAGCTCCTTAAAAATTCATCTGCTGAACAGGATATAGTCAATAATATTATAATAACTATGTACAGTGCCAGGTGGGTACTAGACTAGTGTGGAGGGGATCAATTCATAAATTATATAAATAACTAATCACTATGCTGTACACCTGAAACTAATATACAGTAATACTGAATGCCAGGTGAATACTGCAATTGAGAAAAAAAAAAAAATCTGCTGGGCTTCACTCCAGACCTACTAAATCAGGAACTCTGGGGTGGAGACCCATGTAGTAGACTCTTAATCAAGTGTTTTTAGAGTAAATGATGTCTGCTTCTTAAGAAGCAGGAGTAAAAAGGTTCCTCCCCTGTAGTTGAGAACAATGCTTTAAAACGTCCATCAACTCATAATTCTTTAAAACGTCCATCAACTCATAATTACTCCACACGATTAAACCAAAGCCATGGTTTCTGCTAATTCCACAGGTTTTACTACATTTGGTTTGGTTTCAACCACGTTTTACCTGACAATTTGCTAAAGTGAGGGTCCTGGACTAAATTCCTAAAAGGATCTGTGTGAGTCCAATCCTTAACTGGAAAACAGGGCCCATGTAGTTTCATCAAGCTTAAAGTATTCAATTTAAAAGACTGTCCTTTACTTGAAATTATAGGCTTCCTACTTTTTATTATAAAAAAAAAAGCACTTGATAAAAATTTAGTGATACAGAATTTTTTTAATGTCAATTACTCTAAAAAATTTAAGTCAGCAAGCTTATGCTGGCACTTCTATTAAAAAAAAAAAAAGGATAGTTAGACTGAATCAGTGGATCTCCAAAATCACTTGCCGTTCTATCACTCCACGAATCTAAATTATTATGGAGGAAGGCGTAAAACAACAAAAAACCTTAAAAATAAAAACTTACATTTTTTTGTTTGTTACTAGACTACTTCATGGAAAATTTAGAAACTGCAGATAACAACTATAACACTTACCGACAACGTATTTCATTTAGGAAAACACTGGTTGGAGAGTCAATATTAAAGAAACTTCATTTGACTTCCCCAAGGGACATCTCTCGATAGTACCACTATCACAAAACCACTTTTGTGTCACCCTCCTGCTCAAAATCCTTCTACAGTTTCCTATTTCCCAAAACTTTACACTTTTTTACAACCTACCCACTGGCTACTCTCTATTAGAGACATCTTCTGCTCCAGCCAAATTCGATTACACAACATATACTGCCTCTATGCCTTTGCCCTCTCGAGAAAATATCCATTCAAATTCAAAAAGATACTATCGCCTTCAGGAAACCACCCCATGGTGCTCAGGTGGTCACTGCAACTTTTCTCTCAACTACTGTAATTTGTTATTGCTGCAGCAATCAATACAGACCACCTCACTTTGGGAATGACTGTCTACACTCTGCTCTCCACTCACCTCCAACTATATTGTAAATTCCTTGAAGGAAAGAACTTTTGTTTTGCAAACGTTTCTATCTACCCTTTTCTCTCAGCCAGCCCCAATCCAAATACTTAGCGCTGAGAATCAAAGAAATAAAAACATGAACAAATGAAATATGCTCAGAAAGCCTCAAGTTTTCCTATACCTGCTTGAAAATCACTGCACATAAGTTTATTCTTTGCACAGTGACAAATGGTTACTAGACTTAGTGTGGTGATCACGTTGTAAGATATGTAAATGTTGAATCACTACGTTGTATACCTGAAACCAACACTGTATGCCAGCTATACTTTAATTAAAAAAAAAAAAAACATTTAAAAAAGTTTATTATTAACTGTGAATACAGATAACTGGAATGTGAACAAATCTAAACTCATGTCTCATCAATTGGTTATAACTTCTCATATTCAATGCATACCAACACCCTTCCTGTACAAAAGCCAGTTTGAGAAGAGCCCGAATGGAAAGTCATGAAAATGTTAAATATGAGATTTCTCTCAATGCTTACAGGAAAATAAAAGTTGCTGCAGCAGAATGAGATAAGTAAGGCCAGTCACTGTATAAGAAAGCGTAAATGGCTGACTGTCCTGAGCTGTCCTTTGTCTTCTCAGTAGTTTATCTCTCAGTATATTCACCTTCCTAACAAGAACCTAAAAAAAAGAGTCAGCCCTTTCTTGCTTAATACCAGTAGAACCAATGACCACAGATATCGCAAGCTTATTATGGCACTGATGAGGAAGGAGGAAAACAGAGAAAAGTAATGAGGTACAAAGTTGACCAGTAAAGTGTTTTTACCATATGTTTAGGGAGACTCTAAGTGGCACCCATCAATCTTTCTGCAGAGACAGACTTCTAATTGAACCTATCTGGACTAAGTGTCAAGGTGCAAGTTGATAATTAACAGGGACTTTTTTCTCTCTCATTCCCACTTTCATTTTGAACTTGAAAAATGAGCACTGGACAATGGGAGTCAGCCCTGTGGTAGCTGTCGATTTTGAGTTTCATTCATTCACATGTGGTTATTGAGCAGGGTATTTTGTTAAGGTGATAAGAGGTGCACAAACACACGAACCCATCCTTGCCCTGAAGTTCCCAATTAAGCATAACTTAAACATCAGTCTCCAAAGGAATGTGGAGAACCCATCCCTAATTCCAGGTTATTCTTGCATTTTAATATTAACGGCAAGTACCTCACCCAGGTCTTGTGACAGAAAAGGCCACACCAATAACTTGGCAATAGAACTTTTTTTTTTAATGATGTATAGTTTCTCAATCGCAGGATTCACAACTCTCTCTTTTAAAGTAGCTTTAAAATCTCCCTCAAACCAGGGGGGGAAAGGCAAAAGGTCTGAGAATTCATTTAATAGTAAATCCTACATGAAGGTAACTTGTAGTCAGTGGTTCATAACCTGGCTGCAATTCAGAATTATCTATGGAGCTTCTAAAAATCCCAACGGCCAAGCTGCACCTCAGACCAATGAAATTAGAAGCCATGGGAGCAAATTCGAAGGTGCAGCTAAGGGTGAGAACCACTGCTGTAAATAAATCATCCTGCCCTTGAAACTGAAGGGAGAGAACACGGATCCACACTGCTCAAGAGCATATATCCCATACCCCGGCCCGCATACACGCAGGCCGGGTGCAATTTTTCCAGATGTAGTTTTATATTTCATGGATCTGGGATGAGCTCAAGCGTGGAACACAATACTCTTGCACCTTGAGAACTGAGGATGCAGAAAAGTTGTATGAGATTTACCCACCTACGGCTATCGCTAATTTTGCATCTTGACTGGAACAGACACGGGTTTAGTTGTGGGGGTCGCAGGGAAGTCCCTTTACTACACGTCTTTCATCTAAATCCGCTGGGATCCTGACCTCAAAAGAGAGTGGGAAAACCGAAAGCGCAGTGCTAGGAGCCCACCCTCCGACCCAGGAGGAACGGATCGCACTAGGAAAGAGCACAGGCTGTTCCTGGCGAGGCGAGGAGAAAGCGGGGCTGCAAGTCGCAGCGCCGCAGACACAGCGGCGCGAGAAGCGCCGGGAGGGACCCGGTACTCACGCAAGTGCCGCCCAGCTTGTGGCTCTCCACCACGGCGGCCCTGGCGCCCAGCTCGGCCGCTCGGCGCGCGCTGCCGAGCCCGCCCGAGCCGCCCCCGATCACCAAGTAGTCGTAGGCGGCTACGGAGCCGACGGCAGGCGGCGGGCGCTGCTGCTCCTGCGGCTCCTGCCTGCACTCCATCGCGCGGACGCGGGCGGGCGGCGGCTGAGGCAGCGGGAGGTCGAGGAAGGCGCGCGCCGCCCGCTGCCAGCTCCGCTGCACAGTCGGGCTCAGGGACCCGGGCAGCAGGGCCATGCACGCGGAAGTGCGCGGAGGGACACGGCCCCGGGGCGGTCCCC